ACTTCATGTTTGTCATACATTACAAAAACTAAGAGATGCAAGATTATATGTCAAGATAGAAAATTATATATTTCATACTACTTAATTTGACTTTTTAAGATACATTATTTCAAATAATGGCCTTATGATGGATCCTAAGAAGGTCCAGACTATCATGGATTAGAAGATTTCAAAAATAATTAAAGATCTACAATATTTTTTGAAATTTGTCAATTATTACTAGAACTTCATCAAGAATTTTTTTCAAGTTGCAGCTTTTCTTACATGACTAACATGTAAAGACAAACTTGAGTAGAGCTAGGAAGTTGAAGCATCTTTTAAAGCCTTAAAGACATCATTTACTTTTGCATCAATTTTGTATCACGTTGACTTTTTTAAAGCATTCTTTATGGAAACAAATGCATCAAACTTTGCTATGGATGTGATTTTATCACAAATAGGATTAGATGATAAATTCTATCTAGTAGCTTTTTATTTTAAAAATTTTTCAACTAATAAGATTAACTACAAGATGCACAACAAAGAACATCTTATAATTGTGGACTCATTTTAAGAATGGCATCATTATCTAAAAGGTACTTTTAATTTAATCATTATATATATATATATATATGAATCACAAGAATCTTGAATATTTCGTATTGAAATGTATTTTGAATTATTGCCAACCTTGTTAAAGCATGTCTTTATTAAGATTTAATTTTAAGATCACTTATTAATTTGAAAAATAAAAAAAATTATTAGATGTTCATTTTTAACATTCTTATCTTATACCAAAAAAAAAAAAATCATCTTTTTATCAACAAAGAATGATTGTCTTCAAGCCAAAGCATTTTCATCTTTGAGTAATGAAATCAATATTAACTGTTGATTCAACCTTTCTCAAGCCAATTTAATCTAATATGTCCTCTGATTCACTTCTTTATGATATAAAGAATAATTCTTTTAAGTTTGAAGATACTCCTATGTTTGAGTTCAAAAATAATCTACTCTATTTGAGTAACAATTATATATTTTAAAAGGCAAAGTATAATTACATATTCTTCAAATTTATCATGACTTTTTAGCAGCTAGATATTTTGAATACAACAAAACTTCACAGCTAATATCTAAAGATTTTTAATAGCCTCAAATATAAAAGTTAGTTAAAGACTTTGTACAATCATGTGATGGCTGTTCAAGATCAAAAATTCATTGTCATTGATTGTATGGACTTCTTCAACCATTGCCTATTCTAGAACAACCATAGTCTTTTTTTCTATATATTTTATTATAGATCTTTTAGTCTTATTCTTTTGACTTTATATTTATAATAATAAATCAATTCATCAAGATGGCACATTTTGTATCATATAAAAAATCTATTATATGTGAAAAAATAGCTAAGTCTTTTTTTCATAATATTTATTGCTATTATAGATTGCCAAAGAATATTATATTAGATAGGAGGATGTAATTTGTATCAAAATTTTGAAAAATTATTTTTAAGATTGTGAAGGTAGATATAAAACTATCTTTAATATTCCATCTTCAAACAAATACACAAATAGAGTGGATGAATGAAGTTCTAGAGTAGTATTTGAGGTATACTATCAACTACCAACAAGATGATTAGACAATTCTTTTGTTGTTGGCAAAGTATATTTATAATAATATAGTACATTTATTTATTCAATAAAAATCTTTCTTTGCCAATTATGGCTATCATCTATGATTTGATACTTTTGACTTTTCAAAAGTTAATAATCCTATAACAAAAGATTTGATGAATCATTTGTTAAAGTTGTATGCAACAATGAAGGCACAACTTAAAGAAGTTCAATAATAAAAAAAGATCAATACAAATGATTATCACAAGAAAAAACTTAAATTTCATATTGGCAATAAGGTATGATTACTTCATTGTAATATCAAGTCTATTTGCCTTTGTGACAAGTTGGATTATTATAGATTTAGACCATTTCTTATATAAGAATAAATTAATCTAATTACTTATCAATTATACCTATTGGAGTTTATGAAGATTCATTTCATATTCCATATATCTTTTTTAAGCTATACAACACAATAGATATATTAAAAAGACAAAAAATACCACCTTTTCATATTGAAGTAGATAATAACCAAGAATATGAAGTTGAAGAAGTCTTAAACTCAAAGCAGTATCAAAATAGCTTAAAATATCTTATTTATTGGTATAGATATGATATTAATGAATGCACATAAGAGCTAGGTAAGAATCTTGTAAATGTAGCAAAAAAAAATTGATTCTTTTTATCGACGACATCCATCTAAAGTAAGATGAAGGATAGCAAATCTTTGCTATAAAAAAAACATGATTTAAGAAAGATTGCACTCTACCTTATATTCTTATTTGTATTTTCTATATATTTATAGTGATAAAGAGATGGAGAATCAAAAACCAATAGATTCAACTCAATACTTATTATTTGCTAAGTTATTGAATAAGACATTGCAACTATTACAACCTTCAAGGTGATGCAATAGAAATGAAGACCCTCAAGAAAGAAATATACTTCGTTAAGTAGATGATAAAATGCAACATGTTTGGTATCATGACTTTAGAATAGATTTTTAATGCTTGGTGATATTATTAGAGGTAAAAACCATCTTACAATATTTCAAATGTTTTATTTGAAAGAAATTATGAAGGCTTCAAACAATAATCAAATAATAAAGTGATCTTCTTGTACTAATATGGGACACTATGAATAATTGAAAGGACCTATCAACTACCTTCAAAGAAAACAAAGATCAAAATATGTAACAAACATAATTGGTTGTATCTTGGAATTCTTCAATATATAATTGCTACTTCTTTTAAAATTTGTCTCTAAAAGAGAGGATAATGTCACAAACATACATATTCATCTAAATAAGAAGTGTTAGATAAAAGATAAATATAGGTAGATTTTATATTATCTTGTGGCAAAGCTTTTTAGGAGCTTTATAGACATGTATTTGTTTTTAGATATATTTATAATTCATCGATAGGATAGAAACATGGCCAACTAGCTACATATTATACATGCTAGTAGCTTTGTAGAACAAGCTAATTATGTGGCACATATATAAGAAACTTGTCTTGTACGTTAGACACGTATCTTGCAAGTTGGAGACATGTAAGTCTTATAGAACATTGCCATGTAGCTTCTAACTAGGTGGTATATACAGAACCAAGAATAAAGCCTTCTTCACTCTTGTCAATGTCTTTCTAGTCCTTAGTCTTATTTCAAGACTTTCTAGACTTCTTGTCTTTGGCAATAGCTATTCCAATTTCAATACTATATTAGTTTTGAATGAATATTTATTCTTTTTGAGTTACACAAGAGTATATTAAGTTTTTGGTTCTTTGAGATTCATTTCCTTGACAAATATTGATAATGATAAAAAAAAAATATACTGTAATTAATTCTATATATTCTAATTATAAAGAAAGATATATAAAAGCATTTTAAAAATATAATATTTGGTGTAATAATATATATAATATAAAATAATTTTGTAGTGATACTTTAGATCCATAAAATATCAAAAAATATTTATAGCCATATATCACATTCAAGAAAAAATATAGATCTAATTTTTAATTTAAAAGCTTCAAAGATAATTTATAAAAAAGAAATTATTATCTTAATATATATCTATTTATTTGAATAATCCAAATATTTATATAAAAATCCTTAAAATTTTAATTGTATTGGACTTTAATTTTAATTTTAAAATTAATTTTTTTGACTTAAATAATTTTGAATTGTTTAGAAATTTTTATTTTTATTTAATAAAAAATTATGCTTTAATTATAATAATATATTTTAGATAAATATCTATATTTATAATAATAATAAAATAAAATAAAATAATTTATATATGAATATATATAATAATATATAATGATAATAATAATATTACTAATTTTATATATCTTATATTTATTTAGTCTAAATTTAAATAAAATTATATGTATATTCAAAAAAATTAATGCAAAAAAAGAAATTAAAGATAATATTAAAGTTGTGGTATATTCTACTAATTGAATAAAATATAATTTCAATATTATCTATCCAATATTAAGTTAATATGATAAATTTTCAATAATTAAATTAATAAAATAAAATTACAAATATATATAAATATTTTTTTACTATGGAGTATATATATTCTATTTATCAAATAAATTTAATAATATTTATTTAAAAAATATTTATTTAATATGTACATAGATATAAATAAAGACCAATAAAAAATTTTAATTTTAAAATATAAAAACTTTTTTTGTATGTAATCTCTTTAATACTATGTCTAAAATTCAAATCGAATATTAAAAATTATACATTTGATTTGATATGTATTAGTATTCTAATATATAAATCTTAATAATTATATTCCAAAGAAAAATAATAATTTTATTATTATTATTTCAATTTATGTTGTTAACCTTAGTTTGTATGTTGGACAAAAAGATACTTTATCTAAAATATTTAGAAAATTTAGAAAATAAATAATAAAAAAAGGAAAGAAAAAAAAGAGAACCACCGACACAGTCACCGAAAGTGGGTGTCCCTCCCTCTCGTTGTTTCTACACCTGAATGCCAACCCACCATCCTGAGATATTTCTTTATTTATTTGTTTGATTATTTATATAATCTACGACGGCTACAACAGCTTTTTCTGTTACAAATGGTCAACCATGGAAGCATCCAAGTGCCCTCCTTTTTCACCGAAATAAGCCTTCCAGGGGTTGACGGTGTCGGTAGCAATAAGTCAGAAACATGAGAGCATGACATTTCACCTGCTTGATTATGGAGACCCGATGCAAATTTGCACCTATTTATATATATATATATATATATATATATATATTATTAATAGAGATAGAGAGACTATGCGGGTTTAAAGAGAACCTGAATTCGTTGGGTAAGGTAGGGAAATGGCGGTGAGAAATAGAACAGAAAAACGCTACAGCAGGGAGGGGACAATGCCGAAAAACCTTCTGCGGATCCGATTCATTTCGATATTCAGAACAACGACATTTCCATAAATAAAGCTGATGTGCTTGAACACAGATTGATCAATAGCTCGCGCAGCACCTGTTTATGCAACACGCCGCATTGCTAGCAAGCTGATCAGAATGTAATCAATCACATCGACAATCCAATGGGCAAAAACACTAGTCTGAATTGGTAAATTGGGTTTGTCGGTGACGATCCTCTTGTATCCAGTTTTTCAGTCTAGATTGCAACCTAGTGGCCTGTTCCGCCAGGTAACCATGCTACGATTTCCAAAAAACACGACGAAACCGCCATAATCCCACGGAGGCCATTCCTGTAAGCCGAATGAGATAAGTGGTTCTATCTGAAGTATCCCAACATGAGTTCTCTCGAAAGATCAACATCCAGGTCCGTAGAAGGAAGCTGTTACAAGGGAAAGAATGAATTCCAGCCCAACCAGAGTGAGAAGTTACATCTCATATATCTTCAAAGAAAGAGGAGACAGTTCATGCTAAACGATGCGGTGGCCTTTCAACATGTACCGAGGAATATCAACAGCAGATGAGCGTCCCACGCTCACAAGTGCTCCTCTTTGACCAGCACAGCGTGAAATTTTTCCTTCAAATGCAACAACCATCCAAATGCAAATTTTGCCTTCACGTCGAGAGTTTGCTATGCACTGTTGTTACTTGTGAAAAATGAGAAGTTGGACAAGCTCGTCATCTCTCATCCCGAGAGGCTTCCGATGTTGCTTATCTTGTGATAAATTTTGTGCGATTAACGAGGGCCACGTTCTTTGGTATGACTGCTTGTGCAATTGAACCTACACATGTAAAATTGTATAAAAAGCTTAGTACAGGATGTATGTGGTGTGATGGAGTGGTCAACTCGTTTAAGAAATCGACAGAGAGGTCTCACTGAAACAAGTGAGACTCATTAACACCGTGCTAGCAGACAAATGCATGCCATGATTCTGATCAACTTCGGATCATTCTGTGCTCGTATTCAGTAGGGATGAGCACTGACTTAGGGTTACTCAGTGTGACTCACTAGAAACACCACAGATCACATGCTATTCTCTCACAAGGCTGTTGCAAGAGTTGATGTCCCTGCTTGCTAACCGACTGGGAGAGAGTCCGCACAGCAGAGCGATGAATTTGGGTGATATAACATTACTTGAAATACCTCCCTTGATCTCTCTTACAAGTCCTCCTTTCACAAAGGTCAACGCGGCGACAGAAAAATGGTGATAGACGTCTGTGGGTAGTCAATGATGTGCTTTGCACTGCTGTTATTGTAAATATCATACGTCAACGCCGCTGGGGTCAACTGCAAAAGTTTGTGAAGGTCAAGTACCCCCCCTATCGAAGGCTACCCATCAGTTTCAACACACGACCGACACGGACAGAACTTCTCGGACTGTACGTCGCCTCTGGTTTCTCAGCTGTAAGAAAATCCTTGAATGACGCTACAAACAGTTAGTAAAACTGCACCATTATTCAAGTCAAGCCTGTTTTTTTGTCAGGGGTTGAGAAACGTGCTTCAACATAACTCTCACCGTTGTCGTCCGACCTTCCAATGCCTTGATCCTCGAAAAGCCATAAAACTGCGCAAATATTGATGGAGCTATTTTTCATATTCATCCAGGAGGATTCTCAAAAACTCATAAGGATGAGGGCAAGAGTAGACGGAATCCTTGCGCGTTGCGAACATCACGATTAACACCTCCTTTGTTAAAAAAATGGCAGTTGTCCACTATGCTCATCTGGCTGCTACCCTTTTGTCCACATCCTTTTGTTGCACAATATTCACTCCACCATTGTAGATAAACTTGCAACTAGCTCGACAGTAAAGCCTCCCCAGACCCATGTACTGGAACTTCAGGTAGTGATCAAGAGACTAAAACCTCAACAATGAGCAGCAGAACGAAATCCATTATTTACTAGAACTAATACTGAAGCATGGGATAGAACACGGGTAAGACAAGTTTGTTTTTAACCCTCTTCCACGAAATATTGAGGTCAGCAATGAGGGATTACTGCTCTGAAGCACATGCCGGTGATGATAGCAGTCGATCATTCGAGACTTCACGAAAATTAAAAAATCACAGAATGAGCGATACACACATGATAGAGTGAGCTTCATCCCCAGCTGAACATGAAATGCAAGTTCACAGTTCCTATTTGATTTTGCGTGCGGTCCGATGTGAGCATTTGCAACTTGTCCACAACAAGCGGAGGCGTAAGAGACAGGAACAAAAAGGTAGCACCAGCAACATTGCGTGTAATAAATTAATACCCTCCTTCACACAATTACCAGGGCAGAAACGTTCTGGGAGTCATTTGCAGAGCGGTGCAATTGCTAGCATTTACTTGCACTCTTCATCGTCGTGCAAAAAATGTACGCCGGAGGGCAACTTACCTGTGTAACTCCAAAAACGCTCTGCCAACTCCGAATTAATTCCATGTCTTTGTACCCACGAGTTTTCGAGTCATGAACATCACCCATCTTAATCTTCAATAATCTCTTCAAGGGCAGATTTGTACAAGGCAATCGTAAATACCGTCCACAATGTACAATTAACCATGATTTGCTTCTCAATCTGTACAAGAACGAACTCCACAGAAATGGTCATCCAACAGTTGTTTCTTTTGTGGGGGTGTGTGTGGGTGTGGGTGGGTGTGTATATTTTCCACTCAAATATGACAAACACAAGTAAAGGGGAAAGGTTTTAACAAGACAGGAGCATAACATAACAAGTGCCATGAAGCGAAACTCGAACAGCCTGAGAACCTATCAGTGGGACTCGCTTCGAGGACATGCAATAAAAGTCTGAGAGCTCCAACACGGAAATCCGTGATCCGGTCATAATGGCGTAGGGTGCTGAGTGGCTGGAACAATGTACATGCAGATGTGATGATCTCAATGCTCTCCCTGCTCGCTTGTAAAACAGGGAGGGCATGAAACGCTCCTTGTCGACCTTCATGACTTTATCCTCCCCCCTGTCTTGAGGCCCCCTCCATTGACTTCGTTGTTGAATCCTCCCACCCGCTCCAGCTCCATGTGCACCCTCTTGGAACTGTTGGCGTGCCAAAATTCCACAAATTGCTCGATCCAAGCCATCAAGTGCGGCAGTACGCACCCTTTGACAATGATGCTCTGCCAGCTGAGAATAATCACTTCATTCAATGACCGGCTTCGCCTAATTTCCTGCGTACTTGTGTATTTCGTGTGCTGCGGGCTGACTTCACAAGCTATTACAGGAAATGGATGAAGACGACTCAGGACCAGTTCCTGCACTGCTTAAAACCTGCACAACTACTCCGCGATTGGAACACTGCCCAAATTTTGTGCTTCTGCTTTGCCGTGGTGTCGTAGCTCCCGTAATGCAATCGTAGTCATATTCAGATGATACAGTTTTCACAACGGGCCCCCTATTTTCATGTCGATTTGCAGTATGACGAAGTGAGTAGGAATGGCAACTATTCACAAGAGGACGCAGGCAAAGTTTCTAGTATTATTGTCATTTGATTGAGTAGACACAAAAAATCTGTACTTTTATATATATATATATATATGGAGAGAGAGAGAGAGAGAGAGAGAGAGTACAGATAATAAGACGGGTCTGTCAGGCCCTTCGCAAATGCTGCACATTCATTATAAAGTGAAGGGAATGACGATGCAGGCGATAGCTGGTAAATAGTATCCCACAACACACAAAAACATGTAGAATTAAATAGAGTGAGGATGAATTAAAGAAACCAAAACATTCTACTTTCTTTTTTGGAACAAACACAAAGGCATGCAAAAAGGAACCAATAAGAAGATGCCCTGTTTATTTTTTCCAACGTCATAGTAAGTTCTTTAAAATATCAAATACTAGGTCAGAGAGAGAGTAGCGGTAAAGACAAAAACATGAAACTTGTGCAATGAGAATCAAAACAAAAATTGTACGATGGTATTTTTTTGCAGCTGGCAGTTTTGAAAAATGTACCAGCTAGGCACCTGCCAGCCTCGTTCTTGGACAATTTGGGCATGGCACTAAAGACAAGAAGAGATTACATGGGCAAGAGTTTGTCAGTAGTACTTCTCATTGTCAAGGCTTCAGCGTTCATTTTCTGGGCAATCGACAAAGGTTTCAACCACACATCCGCACACCCATATTCGTCATTTAACACGGCAAACTAAACTCGTCGCTGTTTAAAAACAATTACTGTTTCGTGTCTGTGAGCTCCACCTGCTCCAGTAAGCTGCTGACAGTTGACTGGAGCATTGTAGACGACAGCGGCAGCAGCTTGAGTTGAGCTATGTATTCATCAATCTCGATAATCGTCACCCTCATCATCCCAAGCAACAAATTGTTGCTCACACGAACCAAGGTCTGTACATGTATTCCGCAGCTTTTTGGTATCTGAACGAAGTGTATCTCTTCCAGGCCATACACCATGTGTGAAGCAAAAGCAACATAAATAGATGCATGAGATGTACTCATCTATCTATACATGTATGTATATGTTTTACATAAATATATATATATATATATATATATAGATGGTTTAAGTTTATCCATGTAGCCCACTGGGTCGGGTGCGCCTCTACAGCGGCAGCAGAATGCGCAATAAAATTAGCAATGCACGCCGATGCCAAGCGTCGCATTTCACACTCACATCCAAGCTGGAAGCTCGAATCCGACTCCAAGCCTACCTGCGCGTATTATATCGCATCACTGTCGCGCTCTAGGATCGTGTCCGAACTACTTGCAAGTAAACATCGAGTTCTCTAAACGGAAATCCAAAGACGGATCCGACCCAGTGAGCTCAAGTTGCCGCTCAGATTACACGAATTGAGCCGGTGTGTTCAACACCCGGCAGCTCGATTTCACAACAGCATACTCTAGAGCATCTACTGGGACAGTACATCAATTCTAGAGGGAAATTTGAACAAAATGCGGTCGAAACAATCGTCGAGAATAGCGCAAGAGTAGAACAACGGATGTGTGACAACATTACGAAAGCAGTGTGTGGAGACTGCCTTTTCGGCGCTATTAGCGCCATCTCTTGCCACGCAATCGCGACTTCGAACTCCGATGCTCCGCAAGAATCGCCGTTTTTTTACAGTTGCGAGAGAGTTGCGTTGTTCCGGTTTGATCGACGCGCTCTACGCCGAAATCTGAAAAGGTAATTGTCCCGCCGACACCGACTTTCTCCGAGATTTTCGCCACGTCATCACCTGTGTTTCCATGGCAGCCATTTGCCAAGTCAGCTACTTGCCACGTCAGCTGCACAACCTCTAGTTCTTTGGTAGATTTCTCGTTTCGAGGATGAGGGGTTCAGTTTGGTAGATTATATTTTGCTCAAGAGGATTAAACTTTTACGGTTCCCATTGATTTTAATTTATTTTGAAAGAGACTCGTATTTTAGAATTTGGATGTCTTAATGAAGTGTTTTAATCTTGTTTCTTATCTTATGGTTTTAAGATTTTAGGGATTAGGGTTTACTTAGGGTTTATTCCCCTAATTAGAATTTTAGTTTATTTTTGTGGAGTTTTTGTCAAACATTGTGTTAGATTCATGAGTTGCTTTATGTTGTGTTATTTTATTTGTTAAGTGTATGATCGAATTTTGAATTTAGTAAGGGAATTCAAATTGGAGAATTAGCTTAAATTTTATGGGAAAATAACAATTTGGTTAATATATCACCATAACGAAATTTAGAGGCATTAGCATGAAGCTTGTGTATGTCATGTATGTAAATAGATATAGTAATATTATTGACAAAGATTGGAAACATTGTTTGAATTACATATGCATTAAAAATGTATAGATTTTGTGTCTTGTAATTCTTTCAATAACACTATTTTAGAAGTATAATAACATTTAAAATTTTGGTTTTAAAAGTGAGATGTAATTCAAAAAGTATGTTAGTTGCAATTCATAAAATGTAAGAAAACCAACTTTTGTATATGTTGTTAATTATATTTAACTGTTGAAAAAAGGATGAAATTGTATTTTAAACTGTAATTTATGCTATACAATAGATTACCGGAAATTGATTTGGTTAAATGTACAAAGACTGGCTGTCAATCTTTGTAAAATTGCTCCAAATAAAATTTTAAGATGTCAAAATATTACTATTGGTTGGATTCTCAAAATTTTAGCATAAAAACTTATTGTATTTGGCATCCAAAACAATGCACATGACAATATATATAGTCTTAACAAGTGAAACAAAATAATTTCAAAAAACTGTATTATTATTTGATAATTTTTTTAAGAAAATAAAAAAATAATTACATGCATGAATAACAAGTATAGTTTAATGCTTATACAAAATCAATGATATAGGTTATTAAAAAATAATGAACCCTTATTTAAATACGAGCTGAAAAAATATGGTTTAATACAATCCTGATGTTATCCACCAGTATTTCATTATGGTTTTATTACTTTGTTGATATAAATACTGATATTTACTACAATTTGAACAAACTGTTAGTTCTCAAATACTCTGTATTGAAGTATGTATGTATATGTATAAGCGTACATTGAATTATGCATCAAGAAATTAAACACATCAATATAAATATAGTATTATACTAGAATAATGTCTATAATTATTTCATATATATATATATATATATATTTATATACATACACATACATGTTTTGATGATATATTTAGATTAAGAAATTTGGGTATGCCTTGAAATTATCAATCAAGTATATTGTATGTTTCAACAAGAGCATATCTTATTGAACTAGAACAAGGAAAAGAAAATTTATTTTTATCAAAAATGTAATTTATTTATTAATCTTGTATAGCTAGATGAATTATTCTTCTATCATATTCAATATAGCAAGTATAAGAAATGATAGAGTATTTTTATGTCAACAATTTGTCTTGTAAAAGTTATACTTTAATATCTGTCATTTTTCTATATATTTATATCTGTATTGTAAAACGTTATGAAAAAAATTCTCAAATTTTACAGTAAAATTACTATTTTTTCAAACATTATGTTGAATGTTATTTTGTTCCAAACCCAACTAATTTAATTTGTATAGATACAGAGAGAGAGAGAGAGAGAGAGAGAGAGAGATTGTTTCTTGACAAGATCAAATGGTAACAACCTGAATGTACTTTCTTTTGGTAATTTAACTTGTTTGATTTTAAGCTTCAAAAAATAAAAATATTCATAGTTTCTAAAAATTTAAAATGCCTTTATTAACTTATATTTATCTTAATTTAGAAGAATCAATAGCTTGTTTACTTGAATTAAACAATTCAAAAATTATATATTTCTTCAAAAAAGAACTATCAACAAGAGAAGTGGTAAGTGCTTGCCATGTTCTTAATTATACATTTTCAAACATGTGGATCAATCCAAAGGTTTCACTTATAAATGTCTTTTTTAGTATTGATTGTAATCAATTCATGTACAAATTTTTGAACTTCTGCATGTTGTGACTGAGACTTTCTTGTTTTTCTTTTAGTTTTTCACTCCAACAACTGAATTGCTTAGTGACAATTAGTTTTTTATAAGATTTTTCAACTTATTTAAAATATCAATATCACTATTTTCATGACTTTCTAATTGTAGTGCACGTATATATATATATATATATATATATATATACACATATGTATTTTTTTTTCTCTTTTCACATGATAAATAACTAAGATAATGTCGTATGAAATTCCTTTGGATTCTTTATCACTTTATACAAGATTTAACGAAATACCAAGTAGTGTATATACCTTGTTCTGCATAATTTATATAGTTTAATTATTTTATAAATCACATGTTGACACTTTCCTTTAATACATCCTAATTTGAAATCAACTTGCACAATATATTTGAGCAACAATGATTATCACAGTTGTCTTTGTAATGATTTGTTCTATAATTGACATCTATTTGAAACAATCAATTAGCTAAATATGATATGCACATCAAAATTTTATCTTCTTTTTGTTCAAAACATTTGAATACAGGTTTAAAAAACCTTATAGAAATATTCATACCAACAAGTTTTCAACACATCATGTACAACAAAGAAACACATATCGTACCAAACACAATATATGCACAAATTTTTTAAAAAATGAATTATAACATCACAATGTATAATTCTAAATCATGTATGGTGATGTTATAAATCATTCACAAATAAAACAACTTAAGAATTAGTATAGACCTTGAATCAGTGTGTTCACGAAAATGAAAAAGCTCAAGCAAACCAACAAATCTCAACACAAAAACCAGCCGTTAATTTAAACATGATAAAAATAAAAATAAATATATACTTGTTATTTACTTAAATTTGGATCATCGAAGAATCGACCCAAATTCTATTAGTATATTACGCAACGTTAGCCACAAGAGAGGATTCACATCGAAAGCAGCAGCAGCACACAACCGCATAACAACCAACAATTTTAGCACCAACTCCCATATGCAGAAATTGAAACCGTCACTTGCTATATCATTCACAAATCAGGTTAAATAAAACCTGCAACAAGAAGGAAAAAAAAAAGAAAGAAAGAAGAAAAAAAAAAAAAAAAACGAAGAAGAAAAAGCAGCATCAGCAGCATGAAATCTCAGTGCATGTGGGGCTCAAATCTGTGCTTTTATTTTTATTTTTTTAATAGTGGTTAGCTGGAGCTCGTACTTTGTCGCAGCCTTGCTTTGAGCGACATGTGTGTCAACTTTTAGTATACAAAATACGGGAGTCGGTTATTTTTTCACGGGGTGGAGTGAGAGAACAGCACCGCAGCGGAGAGCGGGTACCGTGAATAGTCACGCGAGGATCCCATCGATCTATTGATCTATTTACCTATCTATCTACCCCAGTATCGATCGATGGATCCATCGATGGGGATCAGTGGGGGATGGACCCCTAATCGTGAGAACCAATCTAAGAAGCGGTGCGGCGTCCATCGGCGAGGGAGCGGGGCCATAATGAGGACCCCCCGCGGGGCTTAAATACACCGTCATAATGAAACTGATGACAGCATTATGAGGGACTGTTATAGCAGTATCGTAACGTGCACAACACCTTCAGATCGCACACTTGGAGTCAGAGTCCCGGGGTACGTCACCGCTCGAGTGCCTTGAATTGCAATTGATATTTGGAGTCAGTTGTCGCAGACTAGACCCACACATCCCCTTCCCCCTATCGCTTTCCCCCCTTACTAGATCCCTCCCTTCTTTTGTAGCCAGGCCCTGCCACGTTACCGTCACGGGTGCCTTCATATAAAATATAAAAAAAACTTGATATATGAGTAGAAATGTGTGTGTATATATATATATATATATATATATTTTGATGCGGGTTTCAAGGCCGTCTGCCTGGTGCTTGACGCCCAGTTAAAGATTTTCGCACAGTGGTACGTTCGCGGTTGCATGCGAGGCTACACTCGCAGCACGTAAATGATCATCGCAAAGGGGGGGGGGGCTACGAGGTCTTGCAGCCTGCGATGGATGGATGGGTGGGGTTGGAGGGGGGGGAGACTCTTTTTAACGTCACATCCTGCACAAGATTCAACCGCATTCAAGATTCTCAATAATGGGGGGGGGGGGGACATTGTTGGTCTCGCTAGTTGCCAACACGAGGCGGGAGGGCGGGAGCAGGACTTGGATTGCTTCCGGATCGTAGTAACAATCCAGGGGCGTGTTCAGGGGAATCAGTGAACTGCCTTGACTGGGTGGGGACCATGCGGTGAGGGAGGAGGAGGATTGGGACCTGCCACATAGTCAAGTGTTACAATGGCAGTCAAGCAGGTGTGTGCGCTTTATTTTCTTTCTTTCTTATTTCTGTGTTTTTTTCAGTTTTATGTTTTATTTATTTATTTCTTCTTCTTACTCTTGTGGGGGTTAATTCTCGCAACGAGGTTAGACCCCCATGCCTAGGATCCTGGATTTGTTGTCTGTTTTCTTCCTTGTCGAATGAAATTCCATGAAGTACACACAGGCAGGTTTCAAACCCTTCATCATGTGTCTGACACCACTGCTGCACGTCAGTCCTGGTGATGCTACGGCCGAAGAAATTTTCTGCGAAACTGCGACCAGCTGGTGTCTGACTTCAAACCTTCACTATGGGAATACTGTGGCAGAAGAATCTCACAGGGTAACGATGTCGCTGTTCATCCGATGTTTAAGCGCCGACGCACTTTGGAAATTGTATAGACCTATTCTAAGACGAACGCAAGCACCACCCAGATTTCTGGCAATGTCCAAAGTGACATAGCTGCAGTCGCGAATCCAAGCATTCGGGAGCGAAAAGCACAACTTTGGTGGCGACACAGCCACGTCGGATATCGGGTTCACACATTCTGGCAGGTCAGGAGGAACGAATTCTGAATGAAGTAATATTCGTGATCTAGATTCTGTGTCGCAAAATTGCAGAGCGGATGCATCCATTGTAGGACTGATACCACGAACACCCATCTCCAAGAGAGCTGCTTTGCCTGCCAGTCACAGATTCGATGGTGTCGACACGAAAATCTCAAGCTAAGGGCCCACGACTAATGATGTAACCCACGCAAGACTTGTGAGGTGTACCGCGCTAGATCGGTGTGTACAGTCCTTGGACTTTTCAGCGCAAGAAACATCCTTTCGCATATGAGAAACAACAGCATGTGTGACAGTGACTATGGAAGCTAATCAGAACCATTATCGAAGAAAGGTACTACACATCAGTAGATTCCTGCACTAATGCATGTCAAACATTCGCCAACTTTCAGAAGTCTTGACCAGGTAATTATTAATCGTATCCTGCATACTGATCGCCAGTAATCGTCCCTGGTTCTGGGTTAAATAGGTTGCAAACTGCAACTTTCGAGACAATTCTTCCCACTTGCAATTCCAGCCGTTTTAGAGACGATGCTCATCATCAAACACAGGAAACTGTGACAAGAATACAACCATGCTCATTCCAAACGGTACGAGTGCAACGCCGTTTTTGTTTTTTGTTTTTCGTTTTTTTTCTTTTTCTTCCTCCCTTTTTGGATCCGGTAGCAGAATTCAGCGAAGTTCATGAAGAGGCGCAATACACAACAAAAACAACTCAAGGCCAGAAAGATCTAGATCACATCCGTAGAGCACAAGCAAAAGAGAATGAGAAGATTAACAAACTCAACACTGAACGAGAGCCCTCTATACGAAAGAGGATAGGATTAAGGATTTCTCAAAAATGTCTTGTCAAAGAGCAGTCATAGTACAGATGAGCTTGCAAAGTGACGCCATGCTGGTCGGATGTAGTATACAACTTGCCCTTCAAGGCATTGCACCGGGCCACATGGTCCAACCACTGGTGACTGCCACTCCAAGACGTGACGATGCTGCCGTCCACTTCGGGGAGGGAAGGGGTAAACGTCCATCATAACCCGACTGCCAGCTGAGAGAGAAGACGATGAGCATAATTCTGGTGAAAACGCCGCATACAGAGCCAAGTAGGCAACATATAAATTAGAGTGGGAAGAAGCTGCCTGCGAATATAGAAGACATGAACTAATCGTATGGCGCGGAAGCAAAGGGGTTGGTGCAGCTGGCAAAGCATGCACAAGTGCTCAAAATTTGGATCAACGACCCAGCGGGACAAAGATCTTGATCTCGGCTCAGGCTTTGATCGTGGTGTACCAAAGTCCCGATAGTGCTGTAAATCGCAACCAAGAGAATATTCTCCCTGGAACACAAGGTTGCCTCGATGTATCATCTGGGGGGTTCTCATATGGCATATAGACCCTAGCGCAGAAGATGATCAAATCAAAGGAAAACTGAGGCGGCCGCCCAAAGCCTCTCACCCACTGCATGTCAACAGGTAGGCTTCACCGACTCTCATTTTGTGACGAACTCGAACTGAGACTCATCCTGATCCTGCAGACCCAACATGATTGTAAATACAACGTTGCAATCAGCAACACTTTCTCACTCTCTTACAGGCACAGCTCCCCCCCCCCCCACCTCGAGACTTTCACAGCCAGCTCTCGGCTAACCAGCAGCATCACCCACCATCCCACACTAGATCACCAAATTCTAGACTAAAATAAACTGTTACCTAGTTTCACTGTCCAAACCCAACAATAAAGAAATAAAAATAGAGCCATATATCGTCCTCCCACATATGTTCCCACAGTGCTTATTCAGCTAAGTATAACGGTCGATGCTTGAACCAACGTAAACCAACGACCTACACCTCTTTTGAAGCATTTATACTTCCAAGAGTAGGACGACCAGATCAGCTTTTGTTAAAAATCTCCATCCGCAGCATAAATGCTTCTCTTCCTTTCAGACATGGGAAAAGACAAAAGTTGAGCAAGCTTAAAAGAGTTACACGGTCGCAAATTCAGAGATAGTAGACGCTGGATCAAAAGGAAGAGCCCCACTTGGACTGCTGGCGCCACTATTACTATTACTAGAATCAGAATGCGAAGCAAAAGTGGATATCTGGAGGACGTCGACTGGTGAAGCAACACGGTCAGGCGATGGAATCTGAACAGGGGATGCTGACTTTTTCTGGTGGAGGTCAAGCCATTCATCGGCAAGGAGGTTGGGACCAGAACCATCGACACCGCCACCGCCACCGCCACACTGAGTAGTACTACCCAACTGCAGAACCTCTGCCAGAGGTCCACCGACAGAGATGGGTTCCCATGACATGGAATCCCAAGCAGTAGTGTGCCGGTGCCAGTCATGGTGGCGCTCGACCCGAAGGTTTTCAACGTCGAGCCCCATGTCAGATGAGGCATCCCCCGCCCTGGAAATCGAGAACTTCAAGGGTGAGAGAGATAACTTGCCTCGGGATGGGCTGCCGCCGCTGCTCTGCGAGTTGAAATCACCCGACGGTGCAGCAGTCATGGGGATTGAGATCGACAACTGCGTGTTGTTGCTCGCACGATTGCTCTGGCCCCCTCGACCGGCGCTGGTGGTGCGGTCTGAGTCCTCCACGTCCGAACCCCATGCCAAAGCGCTCGGATCTCTTGAGCGCGGCCAGTCATCGAAGAAGTGCCGTAAGGGCTGACCCTCACTCGATTCCCGCCCGACGCTGGTCGACTCCACCCCACCATAGCCATTGCTCAGAAATGAATGCTGCTGTTGAGAAGCTGCCATCGCTGCTAGATTGACCTGGCTAGTCTCCGGCATCAAGCCGAATTCTTGTCCCAGGAGTCCTCCCATCTGAGGACTGCTAAAGCTCAGTAGAGAGCTGCTGCCGCTCCCCTTGGACTGAGCGGCCGGTAATACTTTGGATGAAGTCATTGTCTGCCAGGCTTTGTTCATTGGGGTATTCAACCTGGATAAATTGCTCAGCGATTGCGCTTCCTGGCTGAGCCCCCGAGTGCTCCCAGACGCCTCTGAGAAGAGTACCTGTTCCGGACCCATGCCCATCTCGGACTTCACAGCCATCCCGTTCATGTACCTGAGTCTTACCCAGCAAGATATCAGCGTGGTCCTATCGATGCACACTCGAGGATCTTAATTAAGTGAATCCTTTCATCTCTAACAGAGAGCAGACACATAGAATGTAAAAACAATGACCAAAAGACGAGCTTCAGTGTGATAGTAAACTAGAAAATATCCTTCTACAAGCATACAAGATAAAACACACAAGTGACTCTATTAGCATTTCCTTGTGCGCTGTTGAGCATGAACGGGTGAGGGGTGCGAGATTTAGTCACAGGTCAATAAAAGTACGATTCAAGCCAAGGATGTGGTCACGTAAGAGTACCTATAGTCTTTGCTGGTCAGACCTGAGGAGCCAGTAGCAGATGAAAGGACCGGAAGCTGGAACTGAGCGGGTGATGCCGCCGGCGAAGAACCACCAGACAAGCCTCCGGAGCCACCAGGGCTGTTGTAACCCATTCCACCGCCGCCTAGGTTAGAAGTAGATTGCGAGTTTCCGGTTAGTATCGCCGGCCTCAGGTTGCTGTGAGTCAAGCTGGTGCCCGGAGTGGGCGTTGAAGTGCGGGAGGCGCCGACGGCAATTGCCGGTTGGGGCGCAGAGGAGGCCACAGAGCCAGACTGTGAGGCAGACGACGTCTGACCTTCCGCTGGCCTGCGAGAACGGTGACGGCCACGGTGCATATGACGTTCGCAGTATTTCTGATCAGGGACGACGTCCCGGGCGCATCTCCACTTCTTCCCATCAGTTCTCCGGCAACGGCCCGGCTCTGGATCGGTGTTGTTAGGGACCCCCAAGTGAAAAGCTCCCCATCCCACTGCAAACCCGACCCCGAGGACAAATAGCAAAGTGTTTAGAAACCTAACAGTCCAGATTGCACCGAGTTTTTGTGAATGAAGTTGTAAGATACTGCATATCTGATACCGTGCCTCGGTACTGAATACCCCAACTCATTTTCTGGCCAAGTCTCTATTTGAACAAGAACCTGCATTGCGTACAAACTTTGGAGAAAGCAGATAAGAGGCTCACAATTAGCAGTATGGTGGCTGGCAAGTCCGTTCATTGTGGCAACACTCTTGCGAATGGGATTTAGAAGCTCCTGCGGAACGTTAACACCTGCCATCATGTATTTAAAGATGAGTGCCTGATGCTCCAATTCTGCCCACTGGCTGGTAGTGAACGGGGCACGGGCACTGTTAACGGGATTGTGTACAGATTGACCCATGTGGTTCATACTTTCCCTTCCCATTGAGAGACCACCACCTGCACACATCCAACAGATAATTCGACGTCAGAAACTTGATGATCATCACCATCATAGATACCTACGTGTCTCCGACGCGAACACTACAAGCTTCGACTCCACCGCACCCCCAGATACTTGTTGTAAGAAACCTAAGCGACTGTGGAAAAGTGATCAGTAGCCGGGCTAACGAGATACTAAAAGGTTGAAGAAGTCGCCCTTCTTCGAGTGTAGCATATGCCGGTCGGTCATCATTTCTAGAAACTGTGAAGACTAAGTGAATGAGTGATTGGAGACACACTTCTAGAAGAACGCACCAAACAATAAGATGGATATTTGGGCAAGAACCAACGGAAACAGATTCTGTACTGAAAGCGGTGGCACCTGCATTACGGTTCCCACTCACATTCTGAACCCACAACACCGACTGGAACAAGGTCAATCTCGTGCTCTCATTGTCTTCTAGCTTTCTAGAAATGATAACAGACTGATCATTCAGTGTGACAACTCGGGGGAACCACGTGCACTAAGACCACGCACACAATACAAAATGTAGACATCAATTGGAGCTTCAGTCCCCAACTACCTCAGTACTGGTAGTACCGAGCTCTCACCGAAAAGTGAACATCTCAGAACCACTATTGACGCCAAAAGTGGTAACTTTACCCGAAGGCTTATAGTGGTATGAAGATGACTGCAGGTGGTGATAGGAAAGCGGCCTTCCGCCGCCCTGACCTCCAGAGTAGCCAGACGCCGCAACCAGCGAGTCTTGTCTGAGAAGCCTGGCGTCGGAGACCACATTCCCCTGGTCGTTTCCCAGAAGCGATCCATCGGAAGCGCAAGAGTTGGTAGGTGAGCAACCCAACCTGCCGTCTGAGACCATACTACTACTAAGAACCATGGTACCGCTGGGGCTCCCGTTCATGTGCATCTTAAGGTCGGACTGGCGATGAAAGGAATCAGTTCGCGACACCTTGAGAGGACCACCGCCGCGTCTATCTTCCAAGTCCATATCGGAGGCTGATCGGCAGTGCTTCAAACTACTCCGGTGGTTGTTGGGTGATAGCGACCCTGGCGAGTTGGGTGAGCTCATAGTGTGCATTGACAGGCAATCGGCTCGACGGACCACCCAGCTCCGACATCAACCTTGAGGGCAAGTACTCCGTGATTCCAAGTGAGTGGTGTCAACTACAGAGCCGAGCACGAAGCCCATTGCACTCAAAGGTGGTGAAACTCGGCTTGTGTAGCAGAGTATGGGTAGTTGCCACTACTTCTTCACCCTCTTTCCAACGGTTTCCTGATCCAGCCTCTCCCAATCTATCCAGCTGGAACACTCGCACCACAATCACAATGACCTCATTTGTCCAACTGACCTGGTTACTGTTTTTTTTTCCAACCTGCGGCTACTGCTAAACCTTTGTCCAAGTTCACTGTTTTCTAAGTTCAGCTGCCCTGTAATCCCCGACGAAGAGCACAAACACACGACACTCACACATGTAGAGTACTAGTGACTGCCTGCCGAAATCACGAACCAGCCTAAGGATTTGCCACGCGGCTTCGCGGTTGCGAGAGGGGTGTGCGCCTGCGTTTCAGTATTAAAGGCAAGCAGACGGGAAAGCTGTGTGACGTTTCACCATCTGATCAACTCGATAGTGTCCTGACACACTCGCGAATACACCTGCAAACACTTGTTCCACTTTTTTCAAAACCCTTGTTCCACATGCCATCTACAGCTAACTTCTACACTCACATAGGCACACATACACCCACTTACCCACTCACCCACAACCTCGCCAAGTGGGAAACACCCACCCACAACCTCAAACCATGTTCATCATGGGCAATAGCTAGAAAACGGATGGACGGTCGCTGCTGGAAAGAAAATGTACAAAGCGGCTTAACTCTTGACTAAGCTGAGCTACGACGTATCACTCCATCAAGCAACACACAGGAACCCACACATACTAGCGTTCCTCGGAAACCAGCCCCGTCTGCCGCACGCTTGCACTACTGCAGTGCGCCCGCGCTATCAATAACTAACTCTACTCTTCCCCTGTGAAATTGATCAACTCTTGATCATCATCCATTAGAGCACCTGGGTCCCAATACTCAAAACTAGTACATCCCCTGTGCACAGCTGTTCTACCACCAGCAGTACCACTGAGGGGAGCGTTGTTACAAACGACAGACAGGTGCGGCCGCTACCTCTGGCTAATGAGGAACCAAGCATTGGACACAGTGTGGGGAAGTTGCGGCTAGTATTAATACAACGACTAACCTATGCAATCACTTGCAAATTGGCTGTGTCTCCGTTGGCGACGACGACTCCTGCGAACACTGCCGCACAACCAGCCCAGGCAGTGTGGAGGGGACAGACAGAGCGCATGGCACCTTCGGCGTCCCCACCTCTTTCCCACTCCCTCCCTCTCTCTCTCACCCAGCCAGCCAACCTCTTTCTCCTGCTACTACTACTCTCTAGATATCCCTCACTCACTCACACTCTCTCTCCCTCTCGCACTCTCCCCCACACACAAAGACACACACACTCTTACTCACGCAGTCTCTCACACACACACACTCTCTCTTACTCACTCAGTCTCTCACACACACACACTCTCTCTTACTCTCTCTCTCTCTCTCTCTCTGCAGACCAGGCCTCGCACAGTGGCGTTGATGTTAAGGCTCCATCAACAAATCTCTGCGCTGCCGCCTCCGTGCTTCTCTCAGCTGCCAGTGTAAGAACAGAAAATGGAATTTTTCCCCTTGGACGCCGGCCTTCGCTGCCTTCCCCTTTGTAGGCTCGCCTTCCCAGTGGCCCTCCCCGCCTCATGGCCATCTACACCCGACCTAGATCCACTCCGCGCCAGTATAATTTTCTGTCTCTTGTACTCTCACTCTCACTCCCCTCCCTTCCTCCCTGCCCAGCTCTGCCCTTGTGTACCCTCCTCCTCCTCCTCCGGTCAATTATCCTACTTCCTCTTTTACCCCCTCCCCCCCTCGGTACATACACAATGCCCCATTTCCCCTTTCTCTGGGCAAGCAGTTTAACACGTGTAACCCCAATCTCTCTCTCACCTCCCCTCTTCCTCAATTTCCTGCACCCAAACTGGTCATACTTCTATCTATCCTCCCCTTTCCCTCTCCCCCTCTCTACACACAAGTCATTCCATTCCATTCATTCATTCATTCATTCATACATTCAGTCAATCAGTCCACAAGTAAGTCAGTCCTTCTTCTGCTTCTTCTACTACTTCTGCTGCTTCTGTTGTTGGTGTTGGTGTGGTTGTGGGTTTTGTTGTTGGTGATGGTGCTTGGATTGAAGCTTTCTCATGGTGGATGTCTGTGTTGGATTTACTGTTGTTTGTTGTAGTGAAGAGTGGTGGTAGGGGTGTTTTGTCCAGTGGGGGTACCTCAGCTTAGGTTGAAGGAGAGAGTGGGGGGGGGGGGGGGGGGGTTAATGCTGGAAGGGCTCCCAAGATGAAACAAACAAAACACACAGCACCTGGGCTGAAGATCCTGTTCATGAATAGTGAGGGAATTGGATCCACCTGATTTAGATTAGGGTCAAGTCCAAGCATGAGCTCCTATCATGAGTCATGTCAACCACTTCTTATTGAATCAGAAGCCTCCCCACTCATGCTATCATGGTCATTGGGTAAGTGCTTGTATTTATTTTTCATGTTTTTTTTATTTTACTTGGGTTTTTACCCCTCATGCTGGAAGTATTAAAATAAAAAGAAAAAGAACAAACACTTTAAAAAGTAACATAATATAAAAGTTTACATTACAAAAAATGCACTAGTATGCATACATTTTGGTTGTGTAAAAAAGCTACACTCCTGAAGTGTCAAAATGTTATTTTTTTCATCCTTTCATGCATGCTTTCAAGGATGATTTTGTTTTGAAGGTTAAAGTCTAGTATATAGCTGTAAATTGAACCAAGTAGTTAACATTGAATAAAATGCCCCTCAAAATAGACACAAAAATAAATTGCTTTGGGTTTTACATGACCAAAATGTATGTGTATGAGAATATATGTGTGTATATATACATATACACACACACAAACACACTTGAGAAAAATAGAATGTATTGGTGGTCAAAACATTCAAAGGTAAAAAGAACATGTAGAATAGTTTTGTCTCACCTCAAGAGAGCACCAGTGTACTACTTTTGGAATATTCCTTCCATCCCCACAAAAATGCTTTTGGGGTGGTTCTGTTGCTACAAATTTACAGTGAAAATAAAATATTAACTGTGGTCACCAAACATAATAACAATTGTAGGTAAATCATGTCATTCTTTTCTTTTCTTTTCTTTTTTCATCTTAATCATGTCTTCTGGGAGGAGAATGATATTATTAAAAATATTAATCACCATCATCATCATTTAAAAACAAAATATAACAAATAAAAACCATCAAAAACCAACAAAACTCTGAAGCAGTTCAGAGAGAGGGACTGACCCAGTTAATTGGCTGGTTGACCTCTGGGGGAGAGCAGGCAATCCTTTGGTTGTGAGAGTTTGGCTTTGGCTTGAGACAGTTGTTGGGGGGAGAGATAGAGAGGTGCAATGCTAGAATAACAGTTATGATAATAATAATCACAATAATTGTATTATTAATAATAATAAACATACATCGTCATTTTTTGCTTCTCTCTCTCTCTCTCCAATACTGGACTAACATACTTCCAAGTGGGAATGAAGGGAATGATAGACTTGTGATATTTAACTAACTCATCACTCCAAAAACATAAAACAACAAAAATTATGTGAATAAATAAATAAACAAAACACTTCAGTTCCACCCACACACAGTCTCTCTCTCTGTATGTATGTATCTATATATATATATATATATATATATGAAGAAGGAGATATTAAAGTAAATGATGTAGAACTTCTCTCTAACCACCTTTTCTATTATTATCATTGCACTTTAATTATCATTTTAAACAATAAAAATAATATTAAAAGAGCGTTTAATCGAAATCACATTAATGTGTCTTAATTTATTTTTATTTATTTACCTTTGTTTATTCATACTTAAATGTTTTATTTGTGTGTTTGTGACGTTGAATCTACTGCCCAAGTTCCTCTACAGGGTGTTATTGTTGAAAATGAATGATTTTACATTTGCCTCTCTTTTAGGTGCATAATCTGATGTTTTAAAAATGTGTATGAAAATTACAATATTTTCAGCAAAAGAGTTCAGTGGTGTTTAGTTAAGCAACTAATTACGCATGGAAACATGAAAATTATACTGTGGAAAAACTGCAGGTGAATTACAACTTGTCGAGACACAAAATTTGTTGAAATTAACTTATTTACTAGATATACAGGTATTTTAAACAAAAAATAAGTGTTGCTCTAAAGTTCAATAAGTGTTTTTTAAACTCAGTGAGTTTTTAAAAATATACAAATACAAATACACTTTACCCAGCAAGCATTCATTGTCTTTCTAAAGAATTTGTCCTTAAAAAACACGTAATATCCTCAATTCTCTAAGTCATCTTATTTTGATTGATACTATAAATATATGCATGTGTGTGTATAATGAATAAATAATTATTTATATATATATATATATATATATATATATGTGTGTGTGTGTGTGTGTGTGTGTGTTTTGAAGGTTGCAAGTGTTTGTCCGGGCATTCTTGATACACCAAAAGCACTGCAACTATATTTGTGGGTTTATGATGATGTTACTACCTAACTTGCTTCTAAAGTGGAATTGGAGCATTAATAATAAACTAAATGGAAAAAGAATCCAAATAAAACGAAGAAAAAAAAGTAAATGAAAAGTAGTGACTACATTTATCATAAGAATTGAAAATCTTTCCCTTTTTGAGAGGAATGGCTGTGGATCTTCTTCTGTTATTTATTTATTTATTTATTTTCCTCATTATTTTGATTGTTTATGTGTTCATGTATATTTTAGTTTAGTGTAATGGTATGGAGAAATTCGTAGGACTTTATCATCTTCAATGACTTAAGAGGGAAAATATATTTATCTATTTTATTAATTAAAGTGAAATTTCATTTAAAATCTATCCCCTTTCTGATAATGATAAAAATAAACCATTATTAACACTTTCATTCATTCATTTGTAACAAAGCAAGTAAACATAATATTTAAAGAGTAAAGCAGGTTTGCTAAATATATTAAAGCAATCACACTACATATGTTTGACTAGTATCTCAAGATCAACAAATAAAATGAAATGCACTCTTAGAAACTCCGTGTTTATTTTCAAATTCATTCGTTTTGTAAAAATAATTATAATTACAAATCATTTGATGTGATATACATACAAACATACATACATACATACACATACACATGTTGAAATTGACACACAGGCACAATTTTATCTTGAATAAATGGATAACAATTAGTGTGCAAAATCTAGCCATACTGTAGGTTCACTACCCTCACATTGAACAAACCAAGTATGGGTACATGAATGATGTTTTATTATTATTATTATTATTTTTATTATTTTTTTGCAGGATGCAAGTGCAACCCACAGAAGAGGCATGGAAGACATGGAAGAAGCAGCACAGAGTTTGAAAAAACTTCAGAAAGATTTTGCTTTTTTATTTTTTAATTGTAAATTTTATTGACACAGATTATTGAAGTTCATGTTATCTGGGAGATGTGTATGAGTTAGTGAATCTCAATTCATGTCAGCTTTCAATTTTTTTTTGCTTATTACTTTCTTTATTTATATATTTGCTCTTACCCAAGCTGTGTGCCTGGGTGTGGGGGGGGGGTCCTTGGAAGGGGCGAAAGTAAGAAAGTAAGAAATAAAATAAAAAAAGGCCTTTCCATCACATCTGACAAGAGCGCAGAAAAACAGAGAATAGGGGGGAAAAGAAAAAGAAATAGTGAATGAAAGGTACCATTTACTTAACTTATGGATGGATGGATGAATTTGTGTGTTCATCCATATGTTGACTGTAAGATGTGCTTTCTGCTTATTAATAATTATTATTCTAATTATTGTAGTCCTGCTCCCATCCATGCTGATTAAGGGTATGATTAGCAAATGGGGGGGGTGTTTCCCTGACTCTCAATCTCTTTCTTCTTCTTCTTTGTGGGTGTCTCAGGTCAGGTCAGGTCAACTATCCTTTTCTTTTCTTTTAGTTTATTACTTTTTCCCTTGTTTGTTCCTTTTCTTTATCCTTTATTACTCTTATTATTATGTGTGTGTGTGTGTGTGTGTGTGTATGTATGTATGTATGTGTGTGTATGTGTGTGGAGAAAGTAGTCATGTTATCCTCTTGTGATAAAGCCACTGGACTGAGCAGTGAAAGGAAAGGGGATGTGTCCATGGCTGCAAGGCAAAACAAACACAACAACACAGTTATCACATTTGTATTATTTTATGTTTTATTTTATGCTTTCCCCCTCCTGGTGTTAAATTTTCAAATGGATGGTTGTTTTCCTTTTTTGTGAGTTGTCCCTATCCAAAAACATGAGCACTGTGTCTTGTCAAGGTGGATGCAAAGATGTATAAATGTTGTTATTAGTATATATATATATATATATATATATATTTTTAACACTGTTCTTCGTTTTTTCTTTGGCTGTTCTGTTTGTCAACACACTCCTTCAATTCCTAATGTTAATCAAATTCCATGCCTAATGGTTAAATACCCACTTGAGAATGGTTGAAACTGCTCTACTATTATGGACTTTTGAAAAAAGCACCCACAAAACTACATTGTTGAAAAGTATTCTCAAATTCTGCCCAATTCATGTGTATATGTGTGTGTATACATATACATACATACATATATACACACACACTCATGCATGCACACTTGTAAATTAGGAAATAAAGGTTTGTCTGTACGAT